GACATTATTGTGTCCTACTGTTTCAGCATATCAAACTTTCCTTAAGCAAAATCTCGATCTGGATGGCTGATGTATTACCATGTAGAAGAGCTGCCACCTTTTTCTTCAACTTTGATGTGACTGAACACAAGAAAATATAATATCTGATTTATTTCTGCTATAAAGTTGGGACTAACAAAAAAATCAATTTCCAGGAAGCATCCTCACTCATATGAACTCCACAAGATTCACAATAAAAATTTTCCGTTTATCTCCATAATTAGTTCCAGTTATTCATCCACCCACAAGTTGACCAGACTTATACTCCAAATCATTCAATTGTTACAAGAAAAACCTTAGTTTTGTGGAGAATTGAAGATTCTCGTGGACAGAGAAAAAGAAAAAAAAATTCTAATATTATCACCCAGGAACTCAAAGGCTTGGTTTCGCTTTATTCAGAGTGTGCCAGGGAAGATGATCGTTATAAAACTGTGAGCAAGCATCTCGCACAAATATATAGGGAAGAATTGAAGGAAAATCATAAACGCCATGTTGATCATATAATAGCAAAATCCAATAATGAATCGAAAACAATGTGGCAGATGATTAACCATCTCAGGAAAAATGACAAACGAAGCAATAATATTGAAATGAATGATGGTAATGTTGAGATATCAAAAATCGAGATGACTAATAATTTCAATGCCCTTTTTTTCCCTATGAAGTGTCATGAGGAGATAGACATTAAATTTATGGAAAATAATGTTCCCATCTGCCAAAACTCCTTTTTTATGTATCCCATTAGTGAATTTGACATAATTGATTCGATAAAAACACTATAAAACTCAGGTGCAAGTGGTTATGATGAGATTTCAAATAAGCTCCTAAAAAAATGTGCTCATGAGTTATCATATCCGCTGCATTACATCATTAACCTATCACTAGAATATGGGATGTTTCCTGACAAACTGAAAATTGCTAATGTTGTACCAATTCATAAAGAAGGTGATAAAAATTTGTATGAAATTATAGGGGCATTAGTTTGCTTTCTAGTGTATCAATTAAATCATATCTGCATGGCAGAATTCAACGAGTGATTGTTGACGACACTATGAGTGAACTACGGAAAATAGAGCAAGGTGTCCCTCAGGGATCTATACTTGGACCACTTTTCTTCATCATTTTTGCGAATGACTTGTTTCACTATTTTCAACAACTTTCATCAGTACACGTGGTAGCATATGCGGATACAAGTTTCCTTTTGACAGAGAAAGACTTGGCAACTCTATCAGATATTACTGGAAAGGTATACCAGCAAATTATAACATGGGCAAGTGAAAATCACCTGAAAATCAATATAACTAAAACTGTGCTGATGAAATTTACTATGGTTACGAATGAGTCCGAAATTTTCAGTATATATGAGGATGATTATTTCCATGTAGAATCCTCTAAAGAAACTAAATTATTAGGCATCACAGTTGATTACAGACTTACCTGGACACCGCATATCGACTCACTGTGAAAAACTACGTAAAAATTGTTATGCGTTAAAATTCTTGTCTAACTACTGTAATGCTGAAATCTTGCTGAGTCTGTACTATGCCACTATTCATTGTCATTTGCGATACGGGATTTTGAATTGGGGTACGGGATCGTCCGCGGAAAGGATTTTTATATTACAAAAGTCGGCAGTCCGAATAATTGCTAAACTGGGATGGAGAGAGTCATGCAGGAGCTCTTTCAAAAACCTGAAACTTCTCACGGTTGTTGGGATATATATCGATGATTTTATTCCTTTCCATGTTATTTTGTGTTTCTTTTTCATTTGGCAAATCATTTGTAAATGTAAATAGTTTTTTTTAAGATGACGTTTTCCTTGTTATTGTATATTGGAAGATAAGTTTTTTCATCTTTTTTCCATTGTACCTTTCAACAAGTGAAATATTTGATAACAAATAAATACATAAATAAATTTCACCAAATTACTGAAGACAACTGGAGTTTCAGAACGATATCAAATAATCTGTCGTGAAAATATAACAAAAAAAATTGCATGATGGCTCTTCTGGGGTCAAAATACTCTGGAGGGTAAATTACTCTTCAATCTGATCATCATCGGGTGAGGGCTGATTCGAGGGTATTATCCTGCAGAAGTTATTCGAAAATCACTAATTCTGACAGTCAAAGATATGTCTTGAAAAGTTTCATTAGCTGAGTAACTGATCTGTTGAATCTGTTGAAATCTGCGAGGCGAGGCCTAAAAAAGTCTTACTTTTGAACGTGTGATTCCTAACACGGATTGGACGTTCGGCTTTGCGGTCCACACAGCGCAGCGGTGGATTGAATGAGTGAAGCAAATCACCCACATCAGCCTACCAGGCTACCGTCTTACCCAGCTTCAGATAAGACCAGGAACAAAAGTTTCCGCTACTTTCATCAGCTGTGATGAAAAGATTTAAAATTTTGGGGCAAGAATCCCCGAATCTTTCAGAGATACGTTGACGATACTTGAACCAAAATTGAACTAGACAACTTTTTGCAATATAGTAGTAGCATGATAACCTCCATAATATTCACAATGGAGAAAGAAGCTCACAGTGAACTGACGTTTCTCGATGTAATGGTGAAGAGAACCTTTCTCAACTGGAAAAATCTTCATAAAGGAAACCAACCTACAGGAACGGTGTATCTACTAGTAGAAAAATAGTTGAGACTCTAATTGATCGTGCATTTAGTTTTTTGTAATTTGAAGAAAATTCACCACAAGAACTGGACCCGCAGATATTTTAACAGAATGGGTACTCTGAGAAACTGGTGGAACAGATTTCAACCAGGAGACAAGTAGAGCCCTTGAAAAAAGTCATAAATAACCCTATCTCTTTCTTACGTCAGAGGACTGCAGGCAATGAGAATTGGGTCTTGGTACAACATTGATACCATATGTTGCAAGTAATTTGTATATCGGTGAATTCAAGAGACCAGTCAAAGTCCATATTGGTACTACCAGCGAGGAGAAACCAGCAGATCAGGAATAGTTGGGCACATCTGGACTCATCAAAGCTTTTGATTGTGTTTTACACGAACTTTCAATAGAAAAACTTACATTCTATGGCATTAGAGGCACGCCGTTGAACCTGTTCAAGTCTTACTCAGAAGGTAGACAACAGTTTGTCCATCTTAACAACAGTTCTGATTCAGAACGGAAAATCATAAAACATGGAGTACCGCAAGGTTCTGTTCTTGGACCCCTGTTGTTTATCATCTACATTAATGACCTATGTTTTCACATGAGGACGAAATGTCAAATTGTCCTATTTGCGGAAGATACCTCTTTCATCAGTTCAAACAGCAACATTTCACGTCTTCTTGATAATGCTGAAACCTTGATGACTAAAGCGGAAGCTTGGTTCTCTGCCAATAACCTTCGACTGAATAAAGGGAAGACACAAAACCTCATAATTTCCTGTAATAATCAGATCACGTTAGGTAAGCATTGTAAATTGCTTGGGGTTGTTTTAGATGATCGTTTGAACTGGACTCCTCATATAGATATATTGAGTAAGAGACTATCCAGTCTCTTATTTTTGCTTAGACAGCTCAGGTACTGCCTCAATTCGAGCATGTTAAAAAATGTTCATTTTGGATTATTTCATTCTGTGATCAGCTATGGTGCGATTCTGTGGGGTAATGCTGTTGATTCCTCAAAAATATTCAGGTTACAAAAACGCGCAATAAGACTATTAGCTGGGGCTAGGTATAGAGACCACTTTCAACCACTGTTCAAAACAATGAGGATTCTACCACTCCCTTGTGTGTATATATACCAAAATTTACTAGAAATCCATTCAGAAAGGCAGAATATTAAAAAGTTTCTGGCCTGCATCATTACTCTACCCGGGCTGCTACGGCTGATGATTTAGTATTGCCACGTTACAGGTTGTCCAAATCTGAGAAAAATTCATTAGATTTTAAACTATATAATAAATTGCCCTGTGAATTTAGATCCATGAACGAGAAATTGTTCAAAATTAATGTGAAAAATTATCTTCTCGAAATTGTTTTTATACCCAATTTATGTGATTGTGATATATTTTATATTGTATACCTGAAGGCTTTTAGATAATGTTATTATATATTCATTCAATATGATATATTAATTGTGATTGACTTGCTATAAACCATATCATGTATGAGTTACATAGTTAAATAAATATCTATCTATCTATCTATCTATCTATCTATCTATCTATTACATCAAGTGGTTTGGATCTGGAATATTCCACATGAAGTAACACTGGCTTGAAAAAAAAATGCATTCATCCAGTCTCGTATGGATATAAAGAAGAGACAAAAATACCCAAGTGGTGAATAGTCTTGAAATATCAGGATTGGGCTAGTAGCAATCAAAACGTTGTAAAGCAGCGTGATTTGGACTCATTTTTCTCATTATTTCCCATTCATCATTTCAGTTTCATTTTGGATCACACTAATTATTTCTTAGAGTTTAAATATTTTCAAGTATCATAATTTTTTCTCGTGAATTTCAAAGTTTTCAGACAACTTTTTAGACAATACGTCCTAAACCACTTCAAAAACAATTTTACCTACATTTGAACAATAAATTTCCAGGTTATTCATAATATTTGAATGCTTTTTATATAACAAAGTTTCGAATTTCAAACCTTCATATGTATGTAATTCATACGGTGTATATTTTCACCAAAAACATACCTACTGATTTTATTAAAGCGGGTGAACAGTGACTACCGCCTACTATAAAAGTTCGCAATTTGAAAAGGTATAATTCTTGTCAAAGAAAAGTTACATCATTTGACTTGTGAACTGAATAATTCCTGTTTCCTAAAAATGCATTTCTCCCTTCACTACATTTTTCAATGAAAAAATTGTACCCCTACTTCCACAAAAATCCGCCCCTCTCCGCAAAGTTAAACGCGCTTCATCCCCAGTCTCTGCGTCCTGAAGTTGGTCCGATGTTCACTGCTCAGTTGAGCGTCGTTTGTTAGAGAGTTCACACAGCCCGCTACGCTCTTCTCTAATCCAATACGCACACGCTGATCACGAGTACAAACAAATGCAAGCTCTCCACAAAACGAAGCGGTTTTCGATTTCCGAACTTTCTGCGGGCATTCTCGGGCGTATGTAAAAAGTTTTTCTACGAATTAATGCACCTCGTTGGTGTCGGACATCCATGTTTTCAATGACTCGATAATGAAGATTATCGTTTGAAAAGGGGATCGGAAATGGATAGAGTCCCCCCAAGCGCGCCCACTAGGGCAGCGCAAAATAAAAAGACAAACAAACAGAAATTAGACGACCAAATAAAATCGAAGTCCTGCAACTTCGGGATAAATCTGGTGATGTGTGTTTTGTGTATAGTGAGTGTTTCTTCGTCGGTGTGGCGAGAGTTTGACTTGAAAGCGCGACTGACTGTGCTCGAGGATAGGGTGGCCTTCTTGGAGGTGAGGTCGGACAAAGGGGTGGACGGCTTCGTCGAGAGGTTCAGGAGGGAGGCGGTGTTCCACCTCAAGAGGAGGGTGATGAGGGATGTCAGTCCGGTCAGGAGTCAAGAGGGGCGCATGTCGAGGGATGCACCTGAATGTGTTTGTCCTGCAGGTGAGTCTGGGAAAATAATTCAAAAGCGACAGTTAACGTATGTTGTTTTTAAAGGTCTTATAACGATAATTTACCTAATGTGATTGAGAAGAGAACATTTCTTAGAGAGGTTAGTTTTTGTGAAAGAAATATTTCTCTTCTCTTTCAATATTTTAAAGACTAATATAATGTAACCTGAACCATATAATTCTTGAAGAACACATCATTGATCATAAACTAGAGAACACATTTTCAGGCCTCAACATATACAACAAATTAAAATTTGAAACGCATATTAGTATACTATGCAAAAAATTATCCTCAAGTTGTTAAGCGATAAGGTCTATCTCTAACTCTTTGGACTATCACTCTGCATACTTTGCTCTTTTCGAATCCCACTTGCGGTACGGAGTTTGTTTCTGGGGGAGCAGCTGTCAAAACTTGATGAGTCAAGTTTTCACAATTCAAAAAAGGCAAGTGAGATTCATTACCAGAGGTAGTGTCCAAGATTCCTGTCAGCCCTTTTTTTCAACTCATCACATTTTAACAGTCTACTGCCTTTTTATGCACAAAAAGGACAAAGATAACATGTCGAACTCACTCAAAGTTATGCCACTCGTCTCACATTCAATATTCCTCTTTCTATCCCGTCAACAGCATAAATTAAAAATTCGATTCTTCATAATAGCAAAAAAAATATTTCAATCACCTTCCCCTTTTAATCAGAAAATTAACATGCTACAAACAGTTTCGAAAAAGAGTGAAAAAACTTCTGCTAGATAAAGCTTATTATAGTATTGAGGAATTTCTTTCGGATGACTTCGCAACTTATAGAATTTGTTATCACAGACTTTTACCATAGACTTTTTGAAGTGTGCTTGAGCCATATTAATATCTTGTTTTAATTCTTGACTTTCATTTAAATGTTTCTGATTGTTTTAGTTCTCAATCCTGCTTTATCAATATATAAAAATTTTATCACAGACTTTTACCATAGATTTTTTGAACTGTTCTTGAGCCATATTATTATCTTGTTTCAAATTCTTGACCTTTATGTTAATATTTCAGATTGTTTCAGTTTTTAAGCCTGCTTTGTCAACAAAACCTAAACTTTTATGGCAATCAAGCATTCTGACTCTCTATCTTCAAAAAAAAATGTGTGAGTTTTCCAAAGAAAGGAAGATAAAATTAACGAAATGAAATATTTACAACAATGTGTCGATTATGCACGGACATTTCTCTCAGATACAAATTGGAAAAAGGTCCTATCGAAACAACTACTTCTAGATGAATATTGAATTACACAAAAGAAAAACTCCATATGAAAAACCACATTTTCTCATTCAGCTCTTACTACAAATATTGTTATAGAATTGAAAAAGTTATCACTCATAGGAACGTCACACAACAGAATAAATGAGAAGAATTGATAAAATTTGACTTACATGAAACACTATCAAATTTAATTATGTAGTTTTCAAAGTTTTGGGTTGAAAACAATTGTCTTCCACTTCAGTATCAGTATCTCGCATGAGAGTACGATTGAGAGTTTCCCATATTATTGATTAAAGAAAGCCAAAAACTCAATATGATATTTTTATTTCCGCAGGAACCTCTTGTCGAAAGATAATGAAGATTTTTCATTAATTACAATAGGGTTCATAGAAAAGGCAGAAACTCACGAACTTGAAACGATTTGAGATATACTTACCTAGTCTAGTGGCGATAGTAGTTAGCGTTGAGTTTCCTTGAAAACTACATTAGCAACCACATAACTTGACACATTCATTGAACTTGAAATATTGTGTAGTACTAAAAAGTTATGAATGTAATTTATATATGTTCATGCTCAAAGTATGAGGTGTATAAAAATTATGCTGTTTTATTTGGGGATTTATTCTGATTTATTCTTTTATTTGGTAATTTCAATATAATAGGAGTGAATTCGATGATCAAAATAAAGTTTTGTGCAATATAAATGGAGAACTATTATATACGAGCTGCAACATGAACTTGAATTGATTGATTGATTTAATTTCCATTATTGTCTAAGTTAATATGGAAAATGATGGAAAGTCGCTGGTACAAATAAACAAACATTATCATCATTCCTTGCTTGTTGGTTGCGAAATAATGAAAACCAATAAGCATATAAATGCAGGAATTGGAGCATTTCTCCTTAGGGCAGCTGCCCGAGCAGCTGATGTACTCGGTATAGTTTTCGACTCTGAACGAGGAGACTACAACTCTGTCACCGAGTTGGAACCCGTTCAGGAAAAAGCTCAGATAAAAGCCGCAGAGATCACTTTACTTCTGCGGAGACACAAGGATATGCCAATGCATGGTGTCTTCTTCAATAACATTGGAGACCTTGGCTCATCAAAGCGCCTGACGTTCGCTTTTCTCAGGTCGAGTGGACTGAAGTCGGAAACTGAGGGGTTCATCATGGCTTGCCAGGATGGTGTCTTCAACACGTTAGTCTACCGCAGTCGCGTGATGGGTATAGAGGTTCCTGACACAAGGTGCAGGGCCTGCCGCGAGGCACCCGATACCCTAATGCACTAGCTATCAGCATGTCCAGTATATGCGGTCTCGGCCTATATCCATCGACATAACGCGGCCCTAAGAGTGCTATATTACCATCTACGGCACTCTTACGGTATTGACGAGACACAGGTGTTGCCTTGCGCTCCGGGGGATATTGAATCCGTTGTGGTGAACGAGAAGTACCGAATTTATTGGAACTATTCGTTCCCCATCCTCAGGCTCATGCAAGCTAATAAGCCTGATGTAGTCCTTCTCGACCATCAGACCAAAAAGATATTTGTCGTGGAGTTTTCAGCTCCTGGCGAGACGAATATCGTCAGAAAAGAGGAGAAAAAACGGATTAAATATCGAGATTTTCTCTTCGAACTCCGCAGACTCTATCCAGATCACTGTGTCAAGATGGTTGTTCTGATTATTGGAGTCCTTGGTAGAATGATGTCCTCTCTACTCTCGAATCTTAAAATCATAGTGGCTTGCCGCACTTAGGCGTAAATCTTAGCCGCACATATGCAGAAGGCTGTCATTCTTGGCTCACTGCGCTTGCTCAGGGCACATGATTCTCGGACCCAATGATCACTTACCCCACGGTGTGGGGAGTGGTCATTGGTTGATAATGCTGGCGCGCTCTCCCGCATGTATGGGGGCTTCGGGGGATAGGGCCTGACCAGCGCACACTACGGTGGGAAAAAAATAATAATAATAATAATAATTTTTATTTCCCTTCAGATAATAGATGAACGTATAGGAATTGTCCTCAAAGTAGAAAGTAGGTTAACAGAAGTTAGGCATACTAACAGTACAAACCACAGTCTTATTCTAAAGATAATTAGATTACATAAAAAATAAAATATCACAAAATTTTCACAATAGAGTTACATTACATTACATTAGCTTGCAGAAAAAATTAATCCACGTCATAAAAACACTTTTCGATCAAGTTCGATTCCAAGCGATATTTGAACAAAGGTGCAGGTACAAAATTTCGAATATCATCGGGTAGAGAATTGAAGACTTTAGGCTCTATTACATTTGGTGACTTCGAACATATCATTGTTCTGCAATGGGAAACATCTAAATTATTTTTTTGTCTGGTATTAAGATGGTGAATATCAGATCTCATTATAAATTTAACTTTATTTTTAAATACGTATAGACAAGTTTCAAATATAAATATAGACGACATTGTTAAAATTCCCATATTTTTAAAACTATAGCAGCAGAATTCTCTTCTTTTCAAACCAGTCATACTCCTCATAACTCATTTTTGAGCAATAAATACTTCATTTGCCAAGGGGGATACGCCCCAAAAACAAATTCCATAACGAAGTCTATTTTCGACTTGTGCATAATAGAGTTGTCGTAGCATATCAAGACTGAGGATATGTCTTAGGTTCCCCAGCTGGAAGGATATAGTATTCGAGTGGGAAATCAGATGTTCACATTGAATTTTCCAGGTGAGACCTTTATCAACATGTAAACCCAGGAATTTTACAAATTCTTCACCCGTTCTAAGATTATGAAAAAATAGTTCTTCACATTCTCTCTGTCTATTATGATACCTTATCACCTGCGTTTTTTCCATGTTCATGAAAAGGAGGTTAGCAGCAAACCACTCTTCCATATTGGTTACTGTTAGTTCACATTGTTTGACTAATGTTGCATTGTCATTAGATGATAAGACAACAGACGTGTCGTCTGCATATAAGGTAAAAAAATCGAGAACGTCCAGTTTGTCAATATCATTGATATATAATAAGAATAATACAGGTCCCAAGACGGATCCCTGTGGAACCCCTATATTTATGTTTCTTATTTGAGACGATGCATTATTTACTTCAATGTACTGCTTTCGATTTTGAAAGAAGTTTTGAAAGCCATTTTAGTGGTAAACCTCTTATCCCATAACGGGATAGTTTTTCTTTCAAGATATCATGATTGACACAATCAAATGCCCTGCTGAGATTGCGAAAGATCCCAACAGGACACTCGCCGGTGTCAATACATTTTATGATTCTATTATAAAATGAATGAACTGCAGTCATGGTTGACCTATTATTCACAAAACCATGCTGATTTTCTGATAGGATTTTCTCTTGAATTAACCTGAAGCTGACCATAACACACCTTCCGTGTATTATGGTCAGCTTCAAAAACAGTTTCACTGAGAGCAGAAGATTTTTCATGCAGAGTACAGGCATGATTTTTTTATGCAATGCAGACTAGAAGATTTCCCGAAATCTAATTTATAAATCAAAGGCATTTGCTCTGTTACCCTTTGATCCCCTCGCAAGCCGTGTCCGGTCGCTGGTAATAATATGAATCCAAAACCTCATTAATTCATAAATATGCTTGACTGATCTGTGAGCTATCACGTAGAGATCAAAATCCATTAATTTTCGTGTAGCACACTTTCTTGGGCCTCTCACTGAGATATGCGTCTTTCTCAACTTACTGAACTTGAAGCATTGGACTGA